ATAAAAATTCAACTTAGACTGTGTTATACCTGATCAACATTAAATAGATGCATTAAGTAAGTGACAACTATTATGGCTCAGGCCCTACATACTGCATTTTTCCCTTGCTCTGATGTCATTAAAAAGATTTTTCAGGCAAGAGGGCAGCTGAAAACTCATTTCACTTTGGAAAATTTCTGCAGTGCTTTTCCCCCTTTTCTTCATGATGCTTTGCAGACTCAAATCAAATGCACACAAATGCACAGGGAAAATATTAATCCCTTCAGCTGAAGTTCGAATCCACTAGGGTGGAATGCTCCAGTATTCTACATTTATTTTTTTATACAAAGAATTCCATTATTCTCATCACTGGGAATTTTACCTCCTTCCTTTTTCTTTCCTGAGCTTTTCTAGCCTCTAAACTGCAAAGAACAAATCCAACTCGCTTCATGTCATTTTGCTCCACTCCTCTCCCTGCTGTTAATCACGGTTGTTCTGTTCACCAGAGTGGATACAGTCCTGACCATAGACTGAAGCTTGAACTGGGTCTCTTCAAAAGCAGAAAATACGTTTGTCGTGTGAGCTTAAAAAGAGATTCCCCCTAATCCAGTAACAACTATGGCCAGCTTTTCTCAGCTTGAAACCTCTTGCTTTATACAAGCACATGAAACAGGTGAGGAATGGATCTAAAAACGGGTCACGGAGGATTCTATATTGCTTAGCATATGTCTCGGTGATGGGTGATGTGTGTCCACAAGGATCTGCCAAGCAGTTTGCATCACCTGATGTCTTCTTGTTGCTATTAGTTTGTGAAAACTAAGGGCTTTGAATTCTCAGGACTAATATTTGTCTGCAGTTGCCACAGGGAGAAGGTTTACTACGGTGTCATGTGTTGAACTTGAAATACTACATCCCTATTGGAAACGCAAGATCAGTCTGAGGATTTTCTACTTCCCTGTCTCCTAAGGATCAGTCTGAGGATTTTCTACTTCCCTGTCTCCTAAGGATCACACGGCCAGAACACAGATACTGCGGTCTTTCCTTCATGCCTGTAGTGCTTTAGGTTCTTGGCCACCACTTAAAGAGCAAGCAAGAATGTAAGAGCCTTGTCTGGGCTTCAGAAAGACTCTGCTAAGGATAAACTTTTTGTAGGCTAAATGGATTCAGAAACCAATTGATTTGATTAAAAAAAAAAAAAAAAAAAGGATTTCCTTAGCCTCATCCAGGAAAGAGATCCTTTTCAGTCTCTGTTGCAGGGCTCCAAAGTTTAAATTCTGAAGTTTAAACCAAATGTTGCTGCACTGAAAGGCTTGGAGGAACTCTAGCCTACAAGGATGGGTGTCTCTCTATAGGTGCTCTGGGTAAAAATGCCAGACTGTTCCAGCTTTTGCAACATTCCTTCATTTAAGATGGAAATTTCCTTCAATAGCTGGCATGACAGGGTGGTTGGCTTATTCTTTAGTGTTCTTTAGTTGTTTTTTACCAGATGAACATAATCTACCAACCAAAGATTATTTGCATTGAAGATACAGTTTTATCCTGGAGCTATTGAAATGAATTGCAAAACTATTCAGTAACTGACTATAAGCGCAAATCAGTTGTATTGGTTACCAAAAGCTTTAGTTTAAGTGAAAAATTATTTGCTCAGACAGCAAGAAACTATTTACAATGTGCTRCTTTTGAATTTTACTTTTAGCTCAGACCATATGGTAACTTATCTTTTAAATTGTATTTACCGCATTCTTGCGCTTTAATCATGTAAAGCAAAGCTAAACTGCTCAGAACTCCATATTTAAGCTTTAAACTTAAAACTTTTGCTGGTTCTCGCTCCCTTTGAGCTGTTGCTATCTTCAGATAATACCAGATCAATTAGTTTTTAACACTTTGAAACATAACACTTCATAGTGCCTTGTGTACCCTGACTTCTGTTTTACTCAGTAGAGGCTAAAGTTTTTATTTGAGGAGTAATGAGCTCTGCTCAATTAGCAGAGCAAGTTTTGTGAGCAGTGCACATAATTAGCTCCAAGGTCTCCCTAGTCTTAACAGTCATTTGTTAACAATCTCTTCATGTAGCTGGCATGAAACTTGTAAATCAAATACAAAGCAAAAACTCAAATAACTGAAGCGCTTAAGCTACACACATGACTCCATAACTCAAATACWCTTTGGGGGAAGCAATTTAGCTTTAAATTTCAGAAGTGATGACATGGCTACTTTATGCAGAGAAAGAATCAAGGTTAGCTGGAGCAGGGAATACTTCTTATTAGACCTGCTATTTTTGGAAGTGCAAAGAAGTTTTGGAATGAACCAACCCTTCACGAGAGTCTTCTTTTCTCTTCCTCCCCACTTCTACGGATGCTTGTATCACAGACTTAAGACCCACTAATGCAACAGTTGTGGATTTTTTCTACTCTCTACATTCTTATATTTGGTTGATAGTTTCTTAATAGTTGGTCTGGGATTCTAGAAATAACATCCATAATTAATCCAAAGCCTATGTCAGTGACTAATGAAAGATGAGGTAATGTGGATGGAAAGGGAATGACCATGTGGCTGCATTTCAGCAGGTCCTAGTGTTGAGAACAGGAGGTCATTTTCTGCAGCTGACTGGAGGGTACTGGTGTCTTTGAGACTCCTGCTTGGGGGAAGAAAGYAAAGATCTGACTCCAGTCTATGCTGGAGATGTGACATGGGGACCTTCTTGGAGGATCCATCTGCCAAGGTCCAGTTGTTTTGCTGGGTAATTTGGACTCGAGGGCAATGCAAGAGCAGTACTAACAAAAGCCCTTTATGTCGCCTGGCCCCCTCAGAGTAGTTAGACCCTTATTGCTCATTCCATTCGTAGCTTTTGTTGGGCAGAGTAATTTAAGATTTCAAATATTACCTGGATTCTACTGCAAGGCACTTTCAACCTTTGAATCTTTTAAGCTGTATTTTGCTTTTGTCAATTTTATATTTCTTCCCCCTAGTAACTATCAACATTTAAATTTATGTCAGCAAAATATCCAACTCGACCTTTTAGGCGACTCAGGAGGAGTGACTTTGTTTCCAGGGATTCTGGGCACTCGCTGGCTTCAGTATTTCAGTGCCTCTGGTTATCAGGCTGCTTTCCATTTATGTGCCCATGCATATACATTGGAGTCTAGCTTTATGTTCCCAAGCCTGAAGACTTTGGTGGTGATGAATACCAACACACCATAACAAATGGTTTTCCATGCTTGGGGAAGCTCTGGGGAGCCGGCTGCTAAAACTCCACTTAGAGGGACGTTTGAGTGATGGCCCTGCTTCTGCTCGAGTTTTCTCCTGTCCTGGATATCAACCTGCTGTCCCAGTTAACTGTTATTCTTAGCCATTATGGAAGGGCATCTGAAAAGCCTATTTTCTTTCTTTTGCATTTGGAAAACAAACAAACAAAAACAAACAAAAAAATCCAGCTTGCTCAAAATGCAAAATATCCTGGGGAATGAAAACATTCCTGGAGGAGGATTGCCCTGGACAGTGTGCAAGAACTCGCCGTACTTCCTCTGCTCCCTCTCTCCCGGCCCAGCCCAAGCATCCGTAGCGAGTGGCTTGCACGCGCTCAGGGGTCAACTCGCCCGTGCCCAGGGGTAGTTCTGTGTTTCCAGGAAGGAATTCCGATTGTGCCGTGCTCGGTGTGTGCATTCACCTAACTTAATCTAAGCTGCTTTGCCAAGCAGTGTTATTTCTTTATTAGGTTATAAAAAGTGGGTTTATTTGAATGGTAAAAAAGATTAATAGACTTCTTGTTTTTTTTCCTCCTTTCTGAGAGCACCACGGCCCCATGACCTTYACGTGTGGCTGAAGAGAAGAACAGAACAAGGCCTTTCCTTGGGCGAGAGCTACTGAGAGTCGCTAAGATAAGCAGGGAGATGTGTGGGAGAGGATGGGATCCATACGTGCTATTGGAATACTGCTTTGGAAGAGGCAGCCTTGGGGTGGTTTCAGAAGGAGCACGTGTGAAGGACCAAAGCAGGGAAAACAAGTTCCATGGCCTCAAAATGCCTTCTGGGCAGGCAGGACATGGCTGGGCAGTGCTTGGGATGGATGGTGCTGCAGCATGGATGCCATGGAGCACTGTGGATGCTGTGGAGCAGCACGGATGCTGTGGGTGCCATAAGGCAGCGTGGATGCCACGCAGGGGTGTGGATGTCGTGGAGCGGCATGGATGCAGAGCTGCATGGATGCTGCAGACACCACAGAGCAGCGTGGGAGCTGTGGAGCAGTGTGGAAACTGTGGATGCTGAGGGGCAGTGTGGATGTCGGGAAGTAGTGTGGATGCTGTGGAGCTGAGTGGATGCCAGGGAGCAGTGAGGATGCTGTGGAAGCTGTGGGTGCTGAGGAGCAGTGAGGATGCTGTGGATGCTGAGGAGCAGCGAGGATGCTGTGGATGCGGAGGAGCAGCGAGGATGCTGTAGAGCTGAGTGGATGCCGGGGATACTGTGGATGCTGAGGAGCAGYGAGGATGCAGTGGAACTGAGTGATGCCAGGGATGCTGAGGAGCAGCGAGGATGCTGTGGAGCCGAGCGGAGGCTGCGCCGCGGGCTCCCAGGCGAGTGCAGCACGGAGGGACCCTGTGGGTTGGCCCGGGCCGTGGCGGGGTGGCCGGGCGGGCAGAGCCCCTGCGGGCCGGGGGTCGCAGAGGGTCGGGTCCGGTCCGGTCCGGTCCGGTCCTGCCGCGGCGGCAGCGGCCCCGTCCAGGCGGCGCTTCGGCCCCGGGCCGGGGTGCGGGGGGGCGGCGCAGCAAGGAGCATGCGTGCGGGAGGGAGGAGGAGGAGGAGAGAGGAGGAGGGAAGAGGAGGAGGAGGGATGGCGAGGGGAGGCGGCTGCTGTTTATTCGCAGCCGGGCCGGCCGCGGCTCGGCAGAGCGCGCGCGGCCGGTCCCGCTGCCCGCGTCCGGCCATGCGGCCGCCGCTGCCGCTGCCGGTGCCGGTGCCGGTGCCGGAGCAGGTGCCGGTGCCGGAGCCGGAGCAGCGCCGCGCAGCGCCCGGCGCGGCCCGGCCATGGTGAGCGGCTCGGCGCGGGGCTCCCGCAGCCGGGACCGAGCGGCGCCGCCGCCGCCCGCCGCGGGCGGCTCCGCGGGCGGCTCCGCGGGCGGCGGGGCCCGGGCGGCGGGGCCGGGGCCGGTGCCGGGGCTGGTGCCGGGGCTGGTGCTGGCCGGGGTCTGCGCGCTCTGCTACGGCAACTCGCTGCGGGGCGAGTTCGTGCACGACGATGTTTGGGCCATCGTGAACAACCCGGACGTGCGGGCGGGCGCGCCCGTGGCCGCCGCCTTCGCCAACGACTTCTGGGGCAAGCGCATGGCCGAGAACACGAGCCACAAGTCGTACCGGCCCCTCTGCGTGCTCTCCTTCAAGTAAGTGCCGCTGCGCGCCGCGCCCCGACGGCTGCCGCCCGCCGGCCGGGGCCGCGCGGCCGCTCCGCGCCCCCCGCTCCGTGATTCAGCAGTTCCGCGGGAAGCGGCGTCCGGGACGGGCTGCGCCCCGGGCACCCCGGGCACCCCGGGCACCCCCGGCCCGCGGGCTCGGCCAGAGCGGCGCCCGGCCCGCGGGGACCGCGACACCGTGGCGGGGTCCGCAGGGAGAGGCGGGGGCTGGAAGGGACACCTGGGAGCTGGAAGGGGGAATTTCTGCAAGCTCTGCTGGCTGCGGAGGGTGTTCGTGCCCAGTCCCCCCCAGCCTCCTCCTATTGCGCATCCCTCYGCTTCGTCGGCGAGACTTTTCTCTGCTGTTAGACGGTGATGCCTGAAACTTCCCGGCGGCTGTTTGGAAGCGGCCCCGCAGTTGTGCTTCCCTCCGTCTTTGGCCCCTCGAGGATGCCGCGCTGCTTCTCGCAGGCAGCCCGGCAGCTGCAGGTTTCGTGTGCCACTTGCTGAGTTTCCAGGCGGCCGTGGCTGCTTTCACATGTTCCCTGCGTGCCGTGCACACAGGAGTTTCTCTGGACAAGGAAGAGCAGGTAGCTGGCAGCTGCCCTCGCTGGTCCTGCGAGGAAAGCGCAGGCCTGGCTGCCTTGCGGGGAGGAGACGCTGTTGCAGCCCCGTTGTTAGCGCTGCAGCTACAGCTCGCAGAGCGGTGAGCGTGTCACCCTTGTGCTGCCTCGCGCTGCCCTCGCTGTGCTCCGCCGAAACGCTGCCGATGCTCCACGTTTATCCTATTGCAGTGTGTTAAATGAGCGGGCAGCGGGAGGGCTGTGCTCCGATGGGATGCATCCCTGGGTCACCTCCAGCGCTCGGGTTTTCCCTGTCAGTGCGCAGTGAAGATGCTCGCGACCGGCAAAGGAGAGAGCTGCATGGGGAGCAGGACGTGCACCACGAGGAGGTGCTTCTGCTGCCGAGAACCTGCCAGACTCTTTGCTTTGAGYTGCTGTTTATTAAAATACCTGATACTCTTAAATAACATGAGTGGCTGCCTGAAAAYGGCACTTTTCTATAGGGCAAGGCGAGTTTGGGAAAATGCAGCATCCCTTGGGCACTGCCATGGGGTACCCGCCCCCGCTCCTGCTGTAAAGGCAAGCTTGGGACACGATGGTTATCAATATCCAGGGAAGCGGGAGTCAGTGGATGGCATGTCCYGGTAAAGCTAAGCCACCGACCACACAAATACTTACAAGCTGGGCTAATCTTAGACATCCTCCTTAAAAATGTTGCAAGCAGGGAAGAGCAGAGAGAGGGAAGGAGGCAGTGAGGGGCAGAGCTAGCTGGGCACACGCAGAATGGCTTCTCCATCGTGTGTCCGGCCAAATAGCTGGTGCCGTCGGATTAATCCATTACTCCACTGTGGGTAACTGGAGAGGTGAGCGGACCTGTGTATCACCCGTGCCCGCTGTGCTGGGTTCAGCCTCGGAGCTCCGGTTGCAGGGTGAGGTTATCTTATGCAAATTAGCAGAAGAATCTTTAATAATTAAGTGGAAACTTAATAAGGCAGTGGAAACTACGTGCTTTAATTCACGTTTGGCATGTCCTAACTGTGAATGGACTTCGCTTTTACTATTCCCAAAAAACGCCCATGTGTGTAGGCTGAAGTGTTGTCTTCATCTAGACCTTTATAAAATCAGTGAGAGTAATTCCGTGAACAAGACTTCCTCCTCAAGTGCTTACAGTAACCACACTGCAGCAAACAGATAAAATGTAGGGTCAGCACCTCGGCCTGTTGCTCGCTGGCTGGCATCGCACTTGGGGTAAGGAAGGAATCATTTACCTTCCTGATCCCTGCCTGCAAAGGAAGATCATTTCCATTGGGTCCTAACTATTTTTTGAGCCTGCTGCTTTCTGCCCTCTCATTTCTACCTGAAGGTTGACCAAATCAGACCTGGATGGAGAGGATTGCCCAGCCCCAGTGCTCCCAAATAACACACGGGGAGCTGAGCTTGTGGTTGAGCTGCATCCTGCTGCCCCACGCTGCTGGCCCCTGCCTGCCCCACATCGTGTTGCTGGTTGTGCTCTGTAGGCAGAGGAAGGATTTGCCCTGCAGGCTGCAAAATGCTCCACAGAAGTGGCCTGTTAACAAAATTGAAAGGAGCGTTAATACGCTTGCTAGAAACTTTGGAAAATGGTGTGATGTGCGTGCTGCAGGATCTTGCTGAAAATGAGGAGCAGGGATGAGTCCTTCTGCTCTCTCTCTCTTTTTCTTCTTTTTTCTTTTTTTCCCCTCCTCCTTTTGCTTTCTGCTGCTAACTTTGACAGGTTAAAACCAATTCATTTTAACAGTTGTACAGTTCTTTATACTTGACTGGCAATTGTGCTGCTGTGGCGTGCAATTTTCATTGGAAAAGGCTTGCTTTGATTCTTGCTGTAATAAGACTCAAAATCTGGGTGATCTCCAAACTGCATATACAGAACAGATGTAAAGGGTGGGCTGAAGCTTTATATCACAGATCCATCAATCTTCAGAAACGCTGTCTTCATCTCTGCTGTTCTTTGCGTCTGCAAAGATAAGAAGGACTTGCCATGGGGACTTCTCATTTGACTGAACATACATTACACATTCTACATATTCTGGAAGTGATCTCAATTAAAAAAGAAAATTATCATCAGTCTGTCAAAAAATCTTTAGGAGACATTGCTGAAATCCTGTAAGAGCAGCTCAGCATGCCTCAGTTATTGGAGATCTTCAATGACAGTCCTTGTTCCAATAGACTAGTGCTCTGGAGCCAAACAGTGGAAAGGGCTGGAGTACTTGACAGCATTCACACAGGAGCTGTCAGTATGAATGTTCAGAGGAAAATATGAGTAGCCTGTGTTACTAAAACCATTAAGCAGACCTTAAATATTCACAGAAGTGCTGCATTCTTTTTTGTGTGTGTGTGGAGGTGAGTATCAGAAGAAAGACAAAACCCTGATTGTGAACATGAATTCTTCATCTGAATTTGTTTGAACTTCCTGCGCTATCTTTCTTGAGGTCATTAAGCTAAGGAGAAGTTAGAACTAGTTATTTTGCAAACATTCCTCTTTGGTARTTGCTACAACTTCCCATATGGGAAAGGTTTGAAATGAGAGGGAATTGGGTTGTTTAGTCCTTAGGAAAAATTTAACTATATGCCCTATCCAGTGCTGTCACTTAGCTGTTAACCTGCAGCAGCTATTTTCTACTCAGAAGAAATTTGATATACTTTTAAGGAAGAAGAAAGCTTTTGGTACTCAGCATACACTGAGTACTTGATGACTTAAATATAAAATGTTAAGAGCAAGAAAAAGAAACTGTTGCAGTTCTGTAATTCACTGCACTTTTTATATTTAAATGGGGTACTTTCTGGCTTACACCTTGTTTCCAATAACAGGACTTCTGTAAATCATTTATTCCCTTCATAGCCCTTCAGTTACTCCCTGGCTCCAGTGCTTTTGCAAAAATACTACACAACTGTTGAAGCAGAAGGTGAGACCCTTCTAGGGAAACCCCTAGCATTACTGCCCTAATTCTGCTAGGTGTCCTCCCCTCCTTCCCTTTCAGATCCCCATTTAGCTCGATTTTTATCACACACACAMAAAAAAAMCCCCATAGATAATTGGGGTTTGATGTAGTCAACGTAGCAGACTTATCCTGGAGGTCTGTGCAGTGATGGGGAATTGTGATTAAAAAAAAAATCCCATTGGAAGCTTGGAACACTGAGTTTTAAAGACTCTTTGTTAGAGCTCAGCCTCCTGGTTTTCCAGGAGGGAGAACGAAGCTCCAAGGAGAGTGGAAGCCTGGCCCTTGTGGCCTTTGTGATCCAAGGTTGGAGGCACCAGGTCCCAGCCTGGCAGAAGACACGTGTCGATGAGAGAGGCGCTGCTGAGCCCAAACACCAGCTCACGACAACCAAAAGACTGGGGGAAAAGGAGAAGGTAGGGACAAGTTGGTGAAGGTAGGGACAAGTTTAGGCCACACAGTCATTGCARGGACTAGGGAGGCCTGGGCAAAGAGGCAACACTGATACCTGCCCCATGTTGCAGGAGATGGAAATGATCATTTGCTGGAAATTTACTTGGATCTGTGAGGAAAAAGGGTATGAGCAAGCAATCCAGGGGTGCTCAGGGTGGTGGGTGGCTGTCTGGGTTCCTGGGGCTCCGGGGAGGAGAGGAGCCGGTGACCTCTGTGCCTGGGGGAAATTAGCTCTGCCCTGGTCCTACTGCAAGTTGTGTGGGTCACCTGCACACAGGCTGCTTGCAGAGCCGTCCTGGCAGTACCCTGATTACTCTTAACAAAAAAACAAACAAACAAAAAAAGAAATTGGGTCTGTGCTCGCCTGTTCACTGCAGAATGGATGACCCGCCGGCTCGGCTGGCAGGGGCTACTCATCAGGGATGGTTTGGATAACACACATGGTTAGGAAATGAATGGTATCGTTCAGCCACAGTTCAGTATTCTGTGTGGGCACCGCGAGCCTAATGTAAGGCTCCTGGTGGGTTTGGATCAAAGCCTTGAGTGACTGCGAGCTTGGGTTAGATGTAAATATACAGCCAAAAGGAGGATTAATTCAATAATTCACTGGCATCCTTCTGATCTATCTAGCTGCTTACGGCTGATCCTTCTGTGTTTTTTTTTTTTTTTTTTCCCTAACTGTATCGATGGCATGAATTTCAAGGGCAGGAAGCTTAAAAAAAAAGGCAGAGGGAGAAGAAAGAGACTTCAGATTTTATTTGTTCTTGATTTAATGTTGTATTACAGTTTGACATCACAGGGTAATATAGGGAGCTATAATATGTCAAGTTAAACGCACAGCGCGCAAGTATTCTCTTCTCTCTGTACATCTATATTAGGGCAATATCACAACGTTTAAGATTATGTCAGTATTTCTTCTCTATAGCTTAGTTTAATATTTCTACCCTAGCAATAGCAATCACTCTCCATACCGATACTGTGATACTTGCCATGGAATTGA